TGCCCAACACCGCGTATCCGAAGCCAGCACCATCGGGCCAAGGAGCTGTGTGGAGCCTTCTGGTGCGAATTTGCCGGAAGGACAGAAGTCGCACTCGGCCTGAGGCAGTACGGTCAAATGCTGGCTGCTGGGCTTCAGGCTCCAGACAGGCGGTGACGACAAGAAGCTCGGTTTGGCTGAGAGTTGGCTGAGAAGTGTCTGCGAGCTACGTAGCCGCAACGCTTCTGCAAAGTGGCCGGATATTCGCTAAGCCGACTGGGCTCGGCATACGTGGCAACATACGCGCTGGCAGCACGCAGCGTAGCTCACTGCAATAACGTAAACACCAACCCAACTGGAGCAGACAGGAGTACGGGACGCGCAAAAGGATTTCTTCACTTGAGAATGTGGCGTTCAGATTTCGAGTTTCTGGGATTCGGGCTGTCAGGAGCTGCTGAGTTGTGAAGCATATGGCATTATTGCTCAGCAGTAACAGCAGAGCACCACCATTTACGATCAGACCCGATGCCTGGGCGGACCGGTTGTTGAACTTGCCGGCGATGCAAGGAGAGCAGCTAGCAGCAGCGGCCTCGCTCTTGTAGGACCTGACATTTGGAATTGTCAAAACAACGGCATGTTGGAACTGTGCATGGATTCTACTTGTCGGGCACGGCTCCTCTCATGAAGGAAAACAAGATCTCAAGATATGTGCGTCAATATGCGCAAGCAGTGGTCCCTCAAGCTTGCGCAAACTCATCTGCTTCTTATGAGGGTTGTCCCCACTTAGTATTGCTACCAAGCTGGAGCTCTGAGAACCCCAACTTCAAGATCTCTCGAAGAGAAATTCCCTCAGTTTTGAAGAGTATTATGGCTCAGGTAGACTGCGCGACGATACACTCCCACAACGTCGATACAGAATCCTTCTTTCACCTGAGCCAAATCCAGCATGCAGGGTCGTTGCCGCAGGAGGCAGCCAAGCGACCCGGGCCCACAGGCCCTACAGAAAGTTCCGTTCACTGCCTCATAGCCTGACTCACACAGGAGGCAAGAGCTCTGGCCGACCTTCACAGGGGGCCGCAAGTGCCAGTATTTATAATGCTGCAAGGTCCGGAAAGGTAGGATGCCATTGAAGCCTGGAACTCTCACTCCTTACTCATGTCATCCTCACGGTAAGCATGAGACCAACAACTGCCAACCTGTTTCCCACCTGGTCTGTGTACCGGCCAGCTTCACAACTCGCACATGCAGTTGGCGTGTCCAGAAACTTGAAGGTCCCAAGTGAACACGCAGAGCAGGTGTAGTTGATTTTGTTGTTGCCAAACCTTCGACATGTGTCCAGGAGCTTCCTGGAATTACGGAGGAGGTGGTTCAGGCAACGCCTCTACTTCCTGCCAACCTCAGAATGCTGCTTAGTGAAGTCGAGGGGCTGATTGACATAGGGGACAGCACTCAACTCGGTTCCGATAGGGCAAGTGGAGGGGGCCACCGACACATAGTCAGCCTCCTCATTGCCACGCTCTTCGATCCTCAGCCAGCTATGCGGTTTCAAGAGCCAGGCCCTTTTTGAAGCACTTTCAACATCGGAAGGCCCCGTCAGTGCCCCGGTTCCCGGAACTCAAGCTCCCCTGACACACCCCTCTGAGGTTCCTGATCTGCATCTTGGCGAGCAAGGCAGTGTTGACTGCAACATAGCCTACAGAAGCCACCAGAGACTGGCCAGCAGAACTGAAGCCGTAGGCGAGATAAGGGTGCACACGATCCCACGCCTCGTGAGGCTTCAGTATGTGAAAGGCAGACGTGCGGAAAGGGGATTTCCAACATTGCAACAGCTTGAAACAGGTGGCACCATTTTAGGGCCCGTGTCCTCGTTGTCGACGTTCATGAATAGCCGGCGCTTATACACACTGTAGGAGCCGTCAGTGATGGTGTAAGTTGAGGGCTCAACCTTCGCATCTGCCGTGTCCTCGCAGGGCGTGAAAACACTAACACTATTCAAAAAAGACAAGTTAGAAATATCAAAAGCTCCTTGGGCACCATAACCACAACTGAACAAGTTTGCCCCCAAAAGCGTTGGATGGAGGCATGTTGAATCTCTTGGAAAGGCGACCTTCTGAGAGCCTTAGTGGCCTGGGATGGCCTGGGCACACCTTCACTTTCGATCATCATCCATGAGACGCGCTCTACAGGTGCTTATACTGGAGCTATCCCGCAGAAGCCTGACACGTCTGGCACGGGAAACACCATGGAAGGTCGTGGAAACAACTTCCTGGAGCACTTGCGACTACGTATGCGCACAGTTGGCAACTGTGAATATCTACTGCATACTTCATGCACACCATGATCTGTTGTGCTATATATGGGAATGAGTCGAAACACGGGGCCCGAAGCCCCGCGCAGACAAGCCTCTGTCACCTACCCTACCCTTGAACGCGGGGCTTGTTAC